TTAGAAGCATTTGAAGATCCCAATGCCCGGCATAAATGAATGAGACCTCTGGACTAGGTATCTATTTCTTAAATCTCCCAATGCAGTCAAGACTGAAAACAGTCCTCTAAGTAGATTCAGCAATACTTCTACTAAACTAAAGACTGTGTTTAGCTAACTATTTTTGCTCTTGTGCTGCTTGGGGACTACATTTGGCAGTAGTCAGGGCCCACAACCTTTACTCAGTGGTGCTACAGGACCATGCAGTGCCAGGTATCAAATAGTCTCATATCTCTTAGGCATGTGCTCTACGCCTAGATCTAAATCTCTGATTAAGCATGTATTTATTTTTTTATAAACACTCGTCAAAGTTCTACATTTGGAGCAGGAAAAGCCATCAAATTTCATTTCCTTGCACTTAGCCAGGAAAAGTAAGTTCCATTTTCACTGAAACACTTGAGACTCAGAATGGTGAGGCAGCTTGACCCATACCAAATCATCCATTAGTAGAAAATGAGAATTCAGGCCTCCTGCCTGTGAAGACAGTGCTTTGTCCACATCATCACATCATGAAAACTAGAGGGTTTCAGAGAAGGTAGATCTTACCAACATAGGCATGCCTATGCTTATAAGATAGAATGTTTATAAATATTTCACATAAAGAAAAATGTTATACCAACCGTCATAATCATTAGTCAACTCTGGTTGACTCAAGGCAAGAAACTAATCAAGATGGGTTTGTGTGTGTGTGTGTGTGTGTGTGTGTGTGTGTGTGTAACACCTTTAAGTTGATTAAATATCCAGAGTTAGTTAATAAATGTGGGAAAATTAGTTATTTTCCATTCCTCACAATAGAATAAATATTCAGATTTGACTTAAAGGAGAGCTTTCAAAACTCTGATTTAGGAGTTTTGGGATTATAGAGGAGGAAAAAGTCAGCATTTTTATTTAGTAAAGATGGAGATATACGAAAGAGAAGAAAAATGAGTCATTTTCTTTTCCCAGTTAATCTGTGTATCTAGTGGGTATATGTTACTTCTTATTCCAGATTTAGGATTTGATGCCTGTCTATTGAATTCTATTTATCCTTAGCTACAAGAATCATTGAAGACTTTTTAGTTTTATAGGAGTTTCACGGAATTGAAATATAAGGAGCAATCCCCAAATTTAACTACTTCTTGCAATAAGTTTGTCTAAATTTACAGAAGACAAAGGGCTTCATATATACATATTACAGTTTTTCTTTTTCTTTAACCATAATTTTAGTGAAGCTTCAAAAATTAGGGGTTTTTTAATGACATTCTAAAAAGTACGTCCGGAATTCTATGCTAATGTGAACTTTGAGAACCTAATTTATTTCTTTGGTGAACCTCTGTTCTGCTCAAGTTGTCTGAAACAAAGGCATCCCCACATCATAATGATTTAATAATAACTATTTCCTGCTCCTAAGGTGCCTCCTTGAACAGTAGAGAAAGAAAGTCTGCAGAACATCAAGACAACACACCAGTCCAAAAAAACTCAACCAGGCCCACCTTTCATAATCTCATACATCTTTTCATAAAACAATTCTAACAAAAAGCAATTGTTCCATTTACTCACTTTTTAACTAGAGGTTCTTGTTTTGTTATACAGAGTTCCATTGCTTGTAAGGATCTCAATATTGTGCAAATCATCAAATCAATTGACTAGAAACTTTATCTCTGCTTAGTGTTGGCATTGTACCACCCCAGGATTACTGAGTAACCTAAGGAAATAAATATCTCAAGTGTGACCCAAATTCTAAGTCACTTTAGACCAAGGTTAGCAAACTTTTCCTGTAAAAGGCCAGATAACCAATATCTTAAGCTCTCTCTGGAGCACCTTCTCAACACTTCTGTTCCAGCAAATGCAGCCCTACACAATGCAAAAAATATACATACAGACATGACTGAGTTTCAGTCAAATTCTAATTACAAAAACAGTTGGCAGGACTAATATGGTACTAATGATCTAGACCCTGATTTAGATTGCTGGAGAACCATAATAGTCTATCACTAATATTAATTGTGTTTTCTCAACTATTCTAATCAATGTCTGGGGAAAGCTATAGCAGAAGGAATTAAAGGTATCTGATTAATCATCCATGGATGATTGTCACAAGAGACAAGGAATTATCTTGCCACTCTCATTTCTTAACAGAAGACAATGACACTTGACCTACATTTTACCTACATTCTCCACTAGTTCTCCTTTAGTTCTGATCAAGACATTGGCAGGCATTAGAACCTCCATTTTCTAGACTTTTAAGGAGAGAAGGTTAAGGAGTTACCCTGCTGAGCCAACTATTCTACTACTAGTTGGCCTCTTCTTGGGTGGTGTTAGCTCTCAATATCCACATGGGGCCTGCAGGACCGCTTGTGGAACCAACATGGAGGGACTTCATATAACCGGCCACTCATACAAATCACAAATCCATGCTCGAAGCCTTGGAGAGTTTCTCTTCTGCGTGCCCAGAGTGCTTAGTCCAAGCCCATGTTAGGCTTAGTCCACAAGCGGACATCAAGAGTCTGGTAGGAAGGCAGACGGGAGGCAACCTTCACAAAGTGGATTTTTTTAACCCTTTCCAGAACCCTCTATCTAGCACAGTCATTTCAGCTCATGCCTTGAGGGTGTTTTCTGAAAAAAGAAAGTGCCTTTTCAGCACTCTTGATGTTTGATTTCAGCCCGTCCCTTCTATCAGTGGTTCTAGGGCTGAAAATGCTGCCCCTTTTTTGCAGGTTTTGTTACAGGGTCACTGGTCATAGGTGCCACACAGTTAGATCCATGGAAAGAGGATGGAACCTGTGCCTGGGGCCTTTCCTAATTTCTTTTAAAATTCCAAAGAACAGAATTTTGATTCATGTGCATTGGAACATGTAGAACTGTTTGCCTGCCATTCCTCTGAAAGCTTATATGTGGCCTCCTAAGGACGGAGTTTTGCCATACCTGAGTGACCTCCAAGGAGAGAACAGAGAGCATGCCTTCAACATCGCCACACCAATCCCTTACAAAACATCCTAATCTTTGCACAGGATCTGACTCAACTAGTACGGCATATACTCAGCATATGTGATATCCCGAAATCAATTCCTGGCATCTCAAGATGCCCCAAGTACCAAACTGAGTATTTCTCTGGACCTCAAGCACTGCCTGGGACCCTATTTTAAGAAAATACTAATCTCTTAGGAGTTAAAGGAGAAGAAAAATAGAGAGGGAAAAGATGGCCGCCCCTATACCTAGGGAAGCAATTGTTATTTCAGACACTGCAAAATCATAGTGATCACCATTTCAATGGAGTCTCAGCTTGTGAAGGGTAACTGCAGAATGAGTATGATTTTACCTCTATTGCAAATAAGAAACTGGACTTTTTATAAAGGAAAATACCTGCTTTCTCTGAGAAATTTCTCCAGGAGCTCATGAGAGACCCACGGGTTCAGCTTTCAGTGGACGGTTCATGGTCCTGCCTCCCTGCCACAGGGAGCTTCCAGGGCTGGTGCCACTGCTCCCGCAGGTGAGGGTCTTGCTCTCTCCTCCATCAGGCAGTGTGCACACCTGCCACGCTGGAATACCCTCTTGGAATACCATCTTGGAAGAATCCCATAACTCTCTAGCCGAAGTTAGATCTCATTTCTTTTATTTTTTTTTTTAAGTGCGTGCTGGAGAGATAGCATGGAGTTGTACCTGAGCCCAGTTTGATTCCCAGCACTGGCTACCCCAACCCCAAGCACCACTTGTAGAGTCCTGAAGCCTTGAAACACTGCTGGGGTGGCCATGGTGGTCCCCAGCACCACAGGGCCCAAGCAGCACAACATGCTTCATCCCTACCATTGAGCTGACAAATCCATATGGCCAAGTGTCACCAGGAAAGTCCTGCAGGCCTCCGAGCACTGCTGGAGAGCCCCCTTCCCAATCGTATCTTGCCAATATCAAACAATGATGAGACTCCCCAATCAGAAATTTTGAAATCACTCTTTCAGTATTATACAGTTGCAAGTTGAATCCTAGATACTTTACAAAAAATAAGAAAATAATGAGCTGGTCATAATGTGGTAACAAGTTATGTTTTAATCAGTGAAGATGTATTCCCAGAACCTTAAGAGCTCCAATAGAACAGCTCTATGTAAAAAAAAATAAATAAAGACTCCCTAATTTATCTTTTTCTGTAAAGCTGGTTTCTTATATTAAATTTGCTTGAGGTTGTATGATTGAACTTGAAGGACTTTGAAAAGGCCATTTTCCAATAAGACTTCTTTCCCCAGTGAGGCTCAGCTCTCCTGAGGTAGCCAAGTTGACTTTGTTATTCAAGGAAGGAATGTTGTAGACAATCTTTATAGGATTTTAATTATTAATAACACAAGTCTCTGCTCAGTGCACCATAATAGAAAATAAAGTTTACAGTTGCTCCATCCCACTCTAGGGATACAAATTATAGCTAAAGGTAACCCTGATGGCCGTTTGCACACAAGCCACAGAATGAGGAGAATGACAGGAGTCAAGTGACCGAAGACAAGCTTGACAAAGTCAAACTACTGCACTGTCCCAGTGAATTCACAGAACGAGTCACACCTTTGGCAGTAAGTTAGGCAACTCAGGGAGAAAAGGACCTCTGGGACTGAACTACAGTGAAAGCAGAGATGAGAACGCCTGTCTTTCCCCTCCCAGGCCCAAACCGATATCACCTTTGGCTTTGTTTTGTGAATCATCAGCTGCCCTTTCTCCGCAGGGCACAGTGATTCATGCAGAGCGAAGACACCTTGAGCTGTCCCGCCCTGGAACGCCAGCACTTTCCCCTCCTGCCTGGAAAATCAGCATCACCTCTGACAGGTTGATTTCTCCACCAAGCCCTCTCTCGCCCACCTCACCCTTCCCTAGGCCCCCGACAAGAAAGCCAGGCCCTGTGAATCCCGTGGCCACCACCATCCAGCCCTTAGAGGCTCACGGGGGAGCCCTAAAGTCCCTACCTGGACTTATGTGATTCTGACAGCCACGGCCCAACCACTTACGTTTTTGCCAGAGCATGGCCTGTGACAGGATGTTGCCTTTTTTCTTTGAAGCAGACAGTTTGGCTTCTTTAATGTGAGACCTGGGTGTGCTTTCCTCCAGTGTAGCCGCTGCTCACTCGGAGGCAGTTTCCTCAGCGTTTTAAAGGCCCACGTTCCCTCTGCGCAGGGCACAGCGTCATCACATCCTCCACCTCAGGCACCCGAGCGCTTTTTTTTTTTCTCAGCTAGTCAGCCTGTCACCCCACTGCGTGCATCCCCAGCAGCCCACCGGCTGCAGACCACTTCACTCACAGAGTCAGTCAGCCGCATCGGAACAACACCACAGCACCTAGGGCCTGGCCTCTCCGACATGGCCCCAGAGTGTGACCTGGTGCACAGTGAGAGTGTGTGTGAGTGTGTGTGGGTGTGTGTGTGTGTGTGTGTGTGTGTGTGTGTGTGTGTGTGTATGAAGGGACCCGTCCACTACCACCAGTGATGAGTCCCAAACACCCAAACTGTTTTTTTTTATTTGTTCAATTCGGAGCAAATTTGGGTTTTCTCTGGGGTGCATTCAGGCTTCCACACACCAGGCTGTCAGCAGGACTCAGTCTGCCATGGGCCCTGCTTGACGGGAAATGCGATTCCCAGGGGTCACTGGTTCTCTACACAGGAGGAAACACCTGTAGGCTCTTCAAGCCTCACTAAACAACCTCCTCATTCTTTTAATACTGCTTTTCTGTTTACTCCATTTTGAAACGCAAGAGTCCCTCCCCTTCGCCCTTCGACCACCACCCAAATGGCCTCACTTACTCATTTCCAAACGTGGAGACGCCGGGCTGCTAATTCCTGTGCTATAGTGAAAGAGACCAAATCAACAAGAGAGGACATCCCCCACACCTACTCATTAGCTGGAGCTGTTTACTCAAAGCGGAAGGTAGTATAGCACAGTATGGACAGAGAGCTCTTGCTCCCAGTGCTCACCCACCTGTTAACATAGAGCTCCTGAACGGGATAGGTAATGGGGTTCACCCACTTGATGGAGTACAGGGAGCCCCAAGCTTCTGGCATGTGAACACCCATGAACCCCCTTGCCTTTGTCTTTTGCTGGGTTCCTCTTCCCAAGCTCCTCACCTGAAAACCAACTCTTCATTTTTTTTTTAGGTTTTAGTTTAAATACCACCTTTTCTGATGAAAAGTTTTCTGACCCTCAAACTAGCCCAGAAAACCTGAGTTCATCTTTTCCAGTTACTGGTGCACTTAGTTCATTATTTTGCTGCATGGCTCTGGTGATTTCTCAAAAAAAGGTTTCAACTTTATACTCCAGATATATATATATATATATATATATATATATATATATATACACTCTGCATATAAATATATACATATATACACATATACATACTTCAGATATATAGCACAGTGGGTAGGGTATTTGCCTTACACGAAGCCAACATGGCTGACCCGAGTTCGATTCCTCTGCCCCTCTCGGAGAGCCCGGCAAGCTACCAAGAGTATCTCGCCTGCACGGCAAAGCCTGGCAAGCTACCCGTGACGTATACAATATGCCAAACACAGTAACAAGTCTCACAATGTTACTGGGCCCACTCGAGCAAATCGATGAACAACGGGAGGACCGTGACCGTATATAATATATAATACTCCGTAGAACTGTAGCACTGACCTTCCAATGTTCATCGATTTGCAATGAAATCAGGTGAGATACTCTTGGTAGCTTGCCAAGCTCTCTGAGAGGGGCGGAGAAATCAAACCCGGGTCTGCCACATGCAAGGCAAACACCCTGCCCGCTGTGCTCCTGCTCCATGTCCTTATATAATACTCCATATATACATCTATCTACAAAAGTTTATTTCACAAATCAAGGTGTTTAATGAACTCCAAATTCTACTATGGTGTTTGTTTGAAGGCAAATTTTGAGAAGAAATGGTGTCCACATGAACAACGCAGGTAAGGGCTGGAGAAGTTGCTGAAAGGGCTGGGGTACATACTTCACATGTGGGAGTCCTGGATTTAATCCCCACACCACCTGGTCTCCTAAACACTGGTGTGACATACACCCCCTCACCAAAATAGGCCTATCTTCTGGCTGAATTGCAAGTATTCACCCCAAAGCCTTTGGACTTTAAGGTGTGAGGTGGAAGGTGCATAGGTCATGGGTACTGGCATGAGGGTTCAGTCAGAAAGGCATCAAGACTGCCACTCACTGCTGACCAAGCATGTGACTCCTCTGAGTCGCTGTTGGCTTGTTTCTGGGCTGGAGAAGCAGTTCCTGAATGCCTCACAGGGTCAGAGGATGGTGTTTTTGACCTCACTGGTCCTCTGTCACACTGCTTGTATCTTGTGTTTTGTCTCTTTGAGTTCCATGTGACTAATAACCGTTTTTTACTCCCATTTGTCTCTCCTCGAAGACCCAGACAATGATGCTCACGATGACTTACCTTGTAACACGTTCTAGGTGGACTTTTCATTGCTTCTTCTAATCTCAGCACTAGAGCTCTGTAGGGAATAAATTTAACAAATTGTTCTTTAAAATTCAAGTAGGGTTTCTTTTGGTTCTTAAATTGAGTTTATAGAGTCAAGTAGACAGATGTCATGATAAGATTACTTTGCCACAGCTAAGCATAGGATAGAAAAAACATTCCATGCCCTTTAGCAAATTAGTTATTAAATGCTCTTCATGGAAATCAAGTGTTTCCTTACGCAAGTTAATTCTTAATTTATAGTTTCTGTTGATATTGTTAGTGGAGTCTTACTTTCTATTATATTTTCTAGCTGTTAGAGGAAAATTTTAATGATGCTTGAATTTATCTTATTTATATCAATATTTCTAAACCCTTTTATTATAATAAGACATTGATTATAAAGCTATTTCTAGATAGATAATTGTTATTTCTTAAGGTACTACTAGCATTATCTTTTTCCTTACAATCTTTATATCTCTATTTATTTCCTTTTCTTACAGTATTAATCAGTACTATGGCAAATGGCAATGGTTATAGTGGTTATTCCTGTCTCAATGTAGTCTTAGACAAATAGAATAAGTCTTAAAATTGAAAAAAATTCAACTGAAAGAGTTTACATGGTAATCAAACAATAAGAGGTAAGAAAAAACTAACACGGGCATGCATTACAATGTAATTACGGGCGGGGGAAGTTGGTTGGTTGGGGTGTTTTGGGTTTGGTTGTTTTTTGTTTCTTGTTTTCAGTTTTTGCTTTTTGTTATTTGTAGGGCACACCTATTGGTGCTCAGGACTTACTCCTGGCTCTTCCCTCAAGGATGAATTCTGGCAATGCTCAAGGAACCATATGTGATGATAGGGATAGAATCAACCAGGTGCCTTACCTGTTGTACTATCTCACTGGCCCCAAAATACAATATCGAAACCACTGAGATAATTATTAATAATATGCAAAAGTGCTCGTGACTATTGTGATTAGAAAAGTGCAAACCAAAACAACAATGAGATTTTACCTCACACCAGTGATAATGGCATCTATCAAAAAGATGGAAACAATCAGTGTAGGCAGGGATGTGGTGAGAAAGGAACCCTATTCACTGCTGGTGGGAAAATTGTGTGGTTCAACCTGTAGAGAAAACAGTATGAAGACTTCTCAAAAATGTAATAATAGAACCCCCATATGACCCAGCAATTCCACTTCTCGGCATCTCAACCCAAAACACAAAATTATTAATTCAAATGAACACATACACACCCATGTTTACTGCAGTGTTTAATACAATAGCCAAGATATGGAAACAATCCAAACGTTCCAATATAGGTCAAGAAGTTGTGGTATATATAAACAACAGAATACTATGCAGCGGTAAAAAACAAACAAGCAAACAATAAAATTGTGCAATTTTGCGTAACATGGATGGAACTGGAGGGCATTATATTCAGCAAATAAGTCAGAAGGAAAAGGACAAGTACGGGACGATCTCACTAATCTATGGTATACAGATGGTCAAAGTAAAAATTTAGTACTGAGCAATGACAAACCCTGAGATTGGAATATAAATCCAATGACCAGATGAAGGGGAAAGGGCTGGGGAAATGAAGATAAGACTGAAGAAACAAAGACAGTGGTGAAACGTTATGAACACTTTGGTGGGGCCGGGGGGGAGGACAAGTTAGTAAGTTTGTACATCACTACCACAAATTTTAACACTATTATAACTTCCTAAACTATAATAACAATAAATTGAAATTAATTAACTACAAATAAAAAATTCTAAAAGGTGACTAAGAATAAAGAATACATTAGTGAAGAAAAAAGACTCAGAGACTGGAGTCTAGACTGGAGATAGTATGGTGGGTAAAGGTTTTGCCTTGCATGCAGCTGTCCCGGGTTTGATCCCCAGTACCACATATGGTTCTCCAAGACTCACCAGAATTGATCTCTGAGCTCAGAGTCAGGAATAAACTATGAACACAACTGGGTACGACACACCAAACACAGTAACAACAAAGTCTCCAATGGAGACGTTACTGGGCCCGCTCGAGCAAATCGACGATCAACGGGAGGGTACGACACACATTAAAAAAAAAACCTCAAAAAGGATATGTACATGAAAACCTTTTAGTACCTGTATTGCAAACCATAATGCCCAGAAGAAAAGAGAAAGAGAAAGAGAGAGAGAGAGAGAGAGAGAGAGAGAGAAGAAAAGTGCCATAGAGGCGGGCTGGGGGTGGGGTGGGGTTTGGCGGAAGGGAAACTGAGGACATTGGTGTAGTAAATGTACACTGGTGAGGGGATGGGTACTGGAACATTGTATGACTGAAACCAAATCATAAACAACTTCATAACTGTGTATGTCACAGTGATTCAACTAAAAATATTTATTTAAAGTGTTTGCAGTTTTTCCTCTTGGAGAGCCCAGCAAGCTACCAAGAGTATCCCGCCTGAACGGTAGAGCCTGGCAAGCTACCCGTGACATATTCAATATGCCAAAAACAATAACAATAACGTGCCTCATTCCCCTGACCCTGAAAGAGCCCCCAATGTGGCAGCATTGGGAAAGACGAGTAAAGAGAGGCTGCTAAAATCTCAGGCTCTTCGTGTTCCTGGAGTGAGCAGATGCCATTGGGCTATACTAGCACATAACAGGGACAAATGGAGACCTTACT